TATATATATATATATATATATATATATATATGTGTGTGTGTGTGTGTGTGCTTTTATTCATTTTATAAGCAGTTGGATGGATTTTTGGGTGATGGACTATAAAATGAGCAAAAAAAAAAAATTCACATAGATTTACACTGACAGAGGGACCTGAGCCATATCTAGAGATCAGAATATCATAAGAGACTTGACTTAGGTCTGTAAACAAGTATGTTTTGCATGGTCAAACACTAGTCAAATTTTCTTCAGAAAATGTAAATATGAAGTTTCTGTTACTTCCGTTTCCATCATAAATACAATCTGTTCTTGTTCTGTTTCAGTACAGTTATGACAGTGTAGGCAAAAGCTCATCAGTTTCCAGTGACACCCACCGACTTCCTCTCTGTCACTGCACTGCAGTAATGTCTCATGTCATTGTCCACTGCATACATAATCAAGAACACCTCTTCTTTTCTCACAAGCTCGATCAGCCAGTCGACAGCCGCCCTCATTGGACAAGCTGCCTGAGCAGTACCTAATTGGACAGTGGCCGCGAGAGCCGTACCAACCCCAGGCGTCCTGTATGAGTGATAAAGCCACACAGGTGAGTCAATGTCACATGCAGTTTTGTTTCACAGTTCACATATAGTAACCCCTAAAATAATTAGACACTTACGATGTCTGAATGCCATTGCATTAGACATCAAAATATCAAAGCTGCATCTGCAAACCATTGATATGAGGCCTTTTCTCAGAACAAACTACCCATTGTTTTTTGCTCAATGACTTACAGTACTAAGAATTTAAATTAACAGAATTTACAGTACTTAGAATTTAAAATCCCCATTTTATGAAATGTTTTGCTTGAAAAGTGTTTTAATGCAGTGATATAGATATTGGGACGTTTCCAACTCAAAATCAGCTTGAAATGGTGTTTGCAACCAATTTAATTTCCATAATCAAGTTAAAATCAAATTAAACAAGACAACAAGTTGATTTTGTCCGTCAGGAATTGATTTATTTCAAAAGTGGGCGTTGCATAACAGAATAGAGCTAAGAGAGCTGAAAAATAAGAGACCAGTGACGTAAATGGAAAAGGAAAGTTGTTGCAGAGATGGTGCAAATGATTCCGTTTTTTATGAAAGATTACAAAGACAATTATGTATTAATTGGAATTTGTGCACCGATGAATCAACCAGAGGCATCTATGTTCAAATGGCTGAATGTCATTGCATTAGATAACAAAATTCCATTAAAATACATTGATACTTTTCCCTGTAAAACTAACTTTTGTCATAATTTTTGCTCAGTGACTTACTTATACAAATGTAATAGTAGTATTTCACAAACACAAAGTGACCAACACTAATTTTGGGTTTTATTTCTATTGGTTTATCACTAAAAAAATTTTTTTTTTTAACCATCTAGATTGAAAAGTTTGCTTACGTGCTTCTTTCTTTAAAATAAATGACACTTGTATGCTGTTTCATTTGTATTTTAATCACATTTAGTTATTTAGACAATTCACACAAATGTGAACCAATTTCATTTCCATAATCTGATGTTTCCAAGTTAAATAGGGTATTAAAATGTAAGTTTTATCAATCGGAGATTGATTTATTGATTCACAGTGGATATTAACAGAGTGGAAAAGGATTTATATGTGTATATACATATTATTTAAATTTTTTATTTAGTTTTTTTCAGATATTAGCATTTTAGATCTTAAATAGAATTTTAAATATTAATTGGGAAGATTTAAATAGAGAAAAAATATAGAGGCATTTTCAGTACAATTTATATTTGACAGTAAACAGAAAGGAAAAGTTAAAAAAAATTATGTAATTCGCTGTAGAGGTGATGCTAATTATTAAATTGTTGATTTAAGAATTTTTCATAGTATCTAAAATAACGTGCACCAATAAATAATTTACAATAAGACCAAAAACATATTTTTGTAGTATCTAAATAAACATGCACCAATAAATGCAGGGTGTCCGCGGGGTCTTAAAAAGTATTAAAAGTTGATAAATCAATTTAGAGAAAATGAAGGCCCTTAAAAAGTATTAAAACGTCTTAAATGCCATTTTCCAAGGTATTAAATTTTGTATCATCTTTTCATTATGTATATTTGTCCGAATAGTGGGGTTCTGTGTATTTTATTTATGGAATCCCGCAAGATTTGACGTCATCTGTTACGGCAATATCAGAATATCAACGTGCCTAATAATTGTTTTCAACGTGCACGCAGTGTATAAGCATTTTTAACGATTTTATTCATCTATAAGCATTTGTGAAATATTTTTATTTATTTATTTATTTTATTTAGGTGTTGGATGCAGGGTTGTTGTTGTTTTTTTCCATGAAATTGGGCTGCTTTTAAACTGTTGCCATGGGTTGATTTTCCCAAGTGGGTTAAAGGTTTGAAATATTGCATGAATTACATTTGGTTGAAATGCTTGTACTGAAACATTTTGCATTCCACCTGTAATACAACTGTGCTAAATGTTTTGGGCCAGACTAGTAGGAAGCATTTGAGCTGTGTTTATGATAAATAACAGTGCATAACAGTGACTATAAAATATGTATTTTAGGGATGGAAATTAAATTTTTATATTTGGGAATGGAAAGAGTCTTAAAAAAGGTTTTAAAAGGTATTAAATTTAACTCCATGATTCCTGTATATACCCTGAAATGATTCACAATAAGACCAGAAACGCCTTTTTGTAATATCTAAAATAAATAATTCACAATAAGACCATGAAATGTCTGTTTAAGTAAGTACATTTGATTTCTTTTTGACTTGAAGTGTCCGAATGGTGCCAGACAGTGTATACTGAAGGCCGGTTTTGCTCGTTAGCTAGCTGTGTGGTTTCTGATTGGCCGAAATTGTCATCTGTGTGTAATGAAGTCTATTCTTACTGGCTTTTGTTTCCTTTATTCATTAGTATCATGAAGTCTTTGACCGCTCAGTGGTTTAGCTCCGCTGAGACCCCTCGCCTCCCCTGAAACAAAGCCGTCACAAAGGCCCGATGTTTGGTGGCAGTCTGCCGTTATAGAAGGTTCTCTCTGGTGTTGTGTGGAGTGAATTCTTTCTGGAGGTGCAGCAGTTTGCACCTGTCGCTCTGTGTGTGTTTGTGTGTAGGTGTGTGCACACGCTACCTAAGGCTTGAGAGCACATGGCTGTGTGTCTCTGCACCACCTGGCGCTCTCCGACAGCTCTTTGTGTGCCTGCGCTGAGCTGCCTGCAGTGAGAGCCATACATATGCTAATGTCTGATCCGGCTCGCAGAGGCCTCGCGCTTCCAGAGCGGCCCAGAATGTCAAAATCAGCCTGTTTCTCTCAACGTCTCTCTTCACGCCGAGGCTCTTTGTTGACTGTAGCAGCTTTTGCCATTGTTTAAAGCGCTTGGCGAATTAATGATTGGTGTTTAAAAACTTTTGTTTTACTGTTTTCTTAGTCAACATGAAATCAGAATTGACCCTGTTTACTTCTTTACAAAGATGGCATTCTTTGTTCATTTATTCACCCTCGCCTTGTGAAAAAGAACTGCATAGGTATATTTTTAAAAGCTACTTGCAGATAATATAATATTCATGAACATGCCTTAAAGTCTTCATTCACCCTTCCATAAATGAAGGCCTTAAAAACATCTTAAATTGGAGCAGACAGTCTTAAATTCCTCAAATCATGGCACTGCGTACACAGCAAAATATGAATATCTTCCTCAGTATTTTCGCTGTTTTCCAATACAAATATCTAAACATCCTTAAATCAAGATACATTTACTTGAGATGCAAATTGAAGATATAGTATGAAGTCTTGTGTTCTGAAAAAATGAACAAAATTAGGTGTTTATGCTTAAACATGAACAAATATTCCCTTCTCAAGTAAATGTATTGTGATTTAAGAATCTTTAGGCATTTGCACTGAAAAACAAGAAAAGACAAATTGTATTTATTCATTTTTTTTAGAGTGTGCAATCATAAGGTACAGTAAAAGTTATTTCCATATGCATATATATATATATATATATTAAACATACATATGCATACATATATATTAGATGGAGGAGAGGTTATTGTACACAAACGCTCGGCATCATGGGGCAGCGCTGACCATCTCATAGAGGTATGCATGAAAATACACACAGGCAGTTTTTGCACATGAAAAGTATTTCAAGTGATGGGTGGTAATGTGTTTATAGACATACTTTGGGCGTGTTAATTGGCCTCTTTTCCCATAATCATCCTCAAACATACCCACATATTGTGTCTTGACTTGCCATTATTGGCTCGTGTGCACCTGCAAAGTCAGTTTAGGAATCCCAAGCTGTGGCAACATAAACATCTCTTCAGAAAGCTCACTGCGCGGTGTTTGGTGAAACCTGTGAAGTTAGATATAGCTATTAAATATGGTTAATTGTAGGTCATGTCATCTAGTATACAGTAGTCATCTGGTGTTGGGCTGCATGGGTTGAGTTAGATTTTGTCACCATTTGTTTCTTCCTTCCATCTGTTGCTAATGGTAAAAATGTGATTTCCAGATTGCAAAACTCCGTCAGCAGCTCCAGCGCAGTTTGCAGGGCAGCCACAGTATCGAGGAGAAAGAAGAAGCGCCGGCCCAGGTACTGTAAATCGACTTTTTAGGGTTTGTTCTGATCTTTAACCCTAGGAATTACCCCATGAAGTAAACTTTTCTAAGCAATTAGAATATTTGGTTGTTTATACTTTTGAAAAGTAGTATATATAAGTTTGGAGTTTAAAATGATTTTGAAAGAAGTCTCTTATGCTCACCAAAGCTGCAGTTATTTTAATCAAAAAGCGGTAAAAACAGAAATATTGTGAAATATTACATATTAAAACTTTTCTATTTGAATATATTTAAAATTTTAATCATATGATATGATGGCATTCAAATGAACAGCATTTATTCAACAACAAAAAAACTTTTGTTACATTATAAATATCTTTACTGTTAATTTCTTTAAAAAAAAATCATATTGACCCCAAATTTTTGAA